AAGTATCAAAATTATTATAATCTCACAATCTTAGCAAAGAAGTATGAAACTATAATTAAACTGTGATAAGATTGTGAGATTATAATAATTTTGATACTTGAAATATAATATATTTATTAACTAAATCATGGTTAGAGGTTTACTTTGAAAAATTAAATCTTAACCATTTTATTTTAACCTATGACATGTGTCATTAATTCAAATAGGAACTTAAAGAAAATGGAGCGAAGAGAAATGGAGAGGAGCCGGATCTCCATTAATGACTACGCTTACCTACATTAAAATAATTATTATTATTAAAAAAAAAAAGAAAAACTATAGCAATTGTGGGAGTTGCTACTTGCTAGGGACTAAGAGCTTCAAAAACTGGAAACACTCAATAGAGTGAATTAGTTTTGCGATGCTGCTTCTTCGCTTTGGCTTTTGCTCTCTAACAAAACCCACCATATCTTCTTCTGCAAAAAATGAGTTCGATATTACACGAATAACAATCATCGTTATATAAATTGTAACGTCTGTAGTTGTTAGAATCACTACATTTTATACATGAACTTTGTGGTGGGATCACCAAATTAAACCTATTACTCGAAATGTTCATGTTGAAGACAATATTGTATAATGATGTTAGGTATATTGATAGCCTAATGTAAAGATTTATGAACGTTTATTTATAAGAGGTTGATCGTAATTAGAATCCTCGATGGACAAGGAGTTGTTTCCCTGTCCAAATATATTTGGACTCACTAGAACTTTCTTGGACATTCTTTCTTTATAATTGTATGTATTATTTAGGAGACAAATTATATAAATTATTCTACCCTAAAGTGAATATACTACTACATATCAATGCTTTGGCAAAAAAAATTTCATGGAAAATTTCTCAGACAATTTCTTTTCTGTAGCACATTTTTCAAAAATAAGGAAAAGAACTTCTTAAACGAAAATAAAAAAATCAAGTTCTACAAGTAATATTCTATGCGTCTTCTCAACCGGTCAAAACCCCCAAATCCCAACACCTTTAACCAGCCCACTCCCCATCCCTCCCTCCCTCTCCCCTCTTATAGTTTTTTTTTTTTTATGATTTCATATGAGTACTCTTAAAATAATCTCTTTTTCTCAATTATCAAACATAAAAAAAATAGATAAAAATCCAACTGATTTTTGGAAATATATTTTTCATGAAAAATATTCTCCATGAAATAAAGTAAAATGTAGCACTCCTAAAATAAGAAAATACTCCTTCTGTTTCTATTTGGTTGTTCATTTTAGAAATGACAGACACATCAAAATATCAATTATTATCATAGGGTAATTATAATTTTAACCTTAACTTAAAAGATTATGTAATTCTCCAAATATAATAAACATATTTTCTGGTCTCAAAAAGTATGCATTACAACTTAATAGTACTAAAAATTTTCTAGAATTAAATAAGGACATATTAGGAAAAAAATTGTTATCCTTTCTTGATTTGTTAAAATGAACAAGAAAATAGAGATAGATATAAAAGAAAATATGGACAAATAAATAGAAACAGTAGGAGTAAATATTATTAGAATACGCGAGCTATACAAGATCTTATTACTTTTATTCGGAAAAAGAGGTCGGCCTCATATTTTATGAAGTGTTTCACAACTTTTGTGTTTCTTCGGCACGCATGGAACTTAACCCCTGAGTAAAATCTCTAAATAGTTACATTTTGCATGTATTTTCATTTGGGGATCAAGAGGCTGGGGACAGTGACAATAATAAGGAAAAAGAGATAACAACATAAGAATGTGCTTATATATAAATAACAAAAGAAAATTGATTTGGTGATACCTATGACATAATGTACTATCAGAACTTTAACGTCAAGAGCATTTTCAGCAGATAACAAAAAAAAAATTATAATAGCCTAGTTTGTGCGTCTAAAAAGCCCATCCACTCACTTCTTTCCTGAAAACGAAACACCACATTGCGCCACAAAATTTTATACGCATGATGAACCATACCACTTGAAAAAAGACAATTTTTCTTTCATCCACTTTCATCTGTACAAACATAGCTCCAAATCTGACTCTTCCAGTAGCAGAATACACCTTGTTTTAACTATATTTGATTTACCAAGTTGACAGCAACGATAAACAACCTTATAGAGCTTGCATCTCGAGGTTAGTTTGATTGACCCCATTTGCAGAGGATGGTCCGGATTCTCGGTTGTCGGCAGCAGCACTCATCTCCTGAACAGGTGGAGGGTTAACTATTGTCATTTGCATGGCAACATTATCTGACAGACGACTCTTCATCTCCCGGTGCTCCTGGCACAAGGCACACCAGTGCAGGCAGCAATGCACCATGCAGGGATCGCAGGGCGAATTCTGCATAATAAAAAATTAGCATATAACACGAGGTACAATCTGACACAAAAGCTTGTTACTCTGCATATTTGCAATATCAGCTGTAGATACGAAATCTGTGTCGTGGCCTAGCTGTGAACTCAGGAAGAATTGATGAGGAGCCAGATTTCATTTTCTCACTCGAAACACATTAATCAATAAAATACTTTAAAAGTTCATTTTAGAACACCACAAAAAATTGCAGTTCGTTTTGAGAGTTGAGACGGTACAAGTCCAACGCCAATAATAATAATAAAAAATTGGTCCAGAGCCACCTACAAAAGTTATCAACATGAAATTTGGCTAGAAGAGGTTCTTTTTTTGTTATGGTGTTATATAAATAACTGTCGATCAAATTAATCAAGGACAAGAGTCCTGAAATTGAAGCCAGGTATGCATATGATACAGGAAAAAATGACTACCTTGAGATGATACTTCTTCTGCAGTGACTGACGAACCAGACCAGTGTATATGCCACACATCCACCAACTAAATAATAAACCTTCACAGATGAGGAATGACGTCCTTGGATCAATACCATGAAATGCTGCTGTTGCAGCTGCAACAGCAATTCCACCCTCAACGAAAATGGCATGACAAACGCAAGGAGTAGACCAAGGAGTATCATCGTCTCTTAGGCGCTCAACATTCTGCCCAAATAAGACACATGGACAGAACAGTCCTCTCCAGCCTATACAGGTAATCAACAATTAGTGTTAGAAGAAGCATGACACATAAACTGACGCAAAATGCATGCCTCATAGATCATAATCAAGAATATGAAGTAAATATTTATTGAGAGATGCTAGGAATGCCAGAAATCAAGCCCAACAAAATAGTAAACGACCACATCACTAGCTTAACAGAAAACAGATTTTTTTGCAGATTAAAAGGGTATCCAACCACTACTTGAAGATTAATTTCACTTTACTACAAAGAGTAAGGTCATCCAGCTTGTATAGTTTCAAATCTATTTCAGATGAATTAATCAAAAGATAAACAATTAGCAGCTTTAGCCCTAGAGTTCATCTTTAAGACCAGTTTAATGTGCTAACAAAAACCATGTTGGTCATCAAGATCAATGCACACATACTGTCGTCGAGCGAAAACGCCAGCCACTTACAAGACAGACAGACAAACTAACCACACTTGGTCAGCCAAAAACCTAATAGGATCTGGAGATTTAAGTCTCAGAAAGACAACCTCTATATTTCTTTTTTCCCTAATAATGGTGTTGGCTGAGTCCGCTTTCACGCTCCTTGATCATTCCACTGTGTACCTGCTAGCTCCCACCAGCACAAGTACGAGGTAATAACTCTTATCCACTATAAAGAAATATTTTTTGTTTATGCTAGGTTGGTCATCCATGATCCATCAACGTAGGATGCTTTTTGCACCGGGCTGCCTTTTGACCCACCACACAATTGACCACTAGAACATAGCCACCGACTTAAATAACAACCTTTGTTTTAGTTAACAAAATAAAAACATGACATGAAAGTGTAATGAAGCTACAGATGATGAATCAAGGCAAACAATACTAGTTGTTTATAGATATTGTGAATCCTGAGTTTCCACAGTTTTCTGTAGCAGAAAAGTATTAATTGTTGCAGTGTTGCTTACAAAAAGAAATAACTCCAACTTAAAAAAATGCACTATAAACACTAAAAAGCGAATTGATGCAAATACGTATTGCAGATAAATTAAAAGATCAAAAAGATTAACACTTCCAAAGTTGTATCACATAATGACAGTTTTTCAGATACCATTCATTATCTGTCACAAAGCCATTTCAAGCCTCAGGAATAGTGCAACAACTATATAATAATCAGCACTGGAGAAGACAGCCAATTATTTATAGGGCAATGCTAAGTACAAAAAAAAAGAACTTACAGCTATCTTTGTCCTCTGCACATCCAAAAATCCCAGTTGTCCAAGGCTCGTCTGCAGGAGGCTCAAAACTCTCAGGCAAAGGTTGTCCACACTCATTGCACTTCCGACCAGTTAACTGCCCAATCAAGCGGATGAGACATGACATTAGCAATAGAAAGCAAGATAAAGGAGGATGAAACAACAGTACAAGTAACACTAATTATCTTATGGAGAAGTTTGTAAAGGCAGCCAATAAAGTCTGCCAATATTTCACTAAAATCAGCTAACCCAGCCGATTTGCAAGATATTCGCAAAACTACAAAGAAATTTGTCTGAATGCTCCCTTACGCAGAATAGCTGTCTATAGCTTAGCAGCAAGCATCCTCCTGTTCATGATGCATATTACACAATATAATCTGACACAACTTACGAATATATGCATGAAATTGAATTACAACTTACAAAGGGGTTAAAATAATTAAAAACTGTATGAAATCGAATTACTCGCAGTGCATCTCTCCTGATCTTAACAAGAGGAATTCTCAGTTTTGTTTTAGCCAGCAAATGAATGCTATTCAGTATAAAAAAACTACTACTCTCAGCTGCAAATCAAGGAGCTGGGAGACCAGCTGTCCTAGGAACATACTATGGAAAACAAAGGCACCCAAAGCAGCTTGCTTTGGCGGTTAGCAGGAGAGGGCTTGTCTAACCCAAGAAGCATCAAGATGAGCTTACTCACTTGGCGCTAGGTACTTTTTTTACGTGGAGATTCATCGGAAACCAGCAACTATCTCCTCCTTCATTGCAAATTCAATTGGCAGATTTGGTTTTTCCTCTTGAATATTTTTTGGAGTTTCCTTATATGATGCCCAAGATATGACTTACTGGCACTGAGAAAGGATTGAGAAGGAAAGCAGCAAACTTTGAATATTATCCAGGATTGAGAAGGAAAGCAGCAAACTTTGAATATTATCCATTATGAATCATATCACATATGGACCATATAATTGGAGAAGGAAGAGCAAATAATATGAGGAAATGATGCGACATTCTTCTTTTGAGAAGTATAGATATCTACAAACCCTGTATTCATGGTGTAGACACACTACGCTGGACAACACAGCATTCTTATAGATTTTTGGAAGCTATGATGCTCTAACTATTAAGATAAACCCGATGCTCCCTTTTGTACCTTTTTAGTACCTCCTTGTCACTCTTTTGTACCTTACTCCATAAAAAAGTTTGCTTGAAGATACAATAGCAACTAAGTCAAAACATATAGCAGTGCTAAAGGCACAAGGCACAAAAGAGTGACAAGGTCCTTGGTACTTAAGTGAAAAGCGAGGAGTAAATAGCAAAATTCACAACATTAAAAAGTACCAACCATATATATTAATTCAGTACTATAATGATCAAACTGAAATAACATACTCCCTTTATTTCAATCTGTTTGTCCGGTTTTGACTTGACACAGAGAGTAACAAAGTAAAGAGGACTTCTGAATCTTGTGGTATTAAACTAAAGAAATATACAATATACCAAAATGTCATTAATCTCGTGGTCTTAAACATACATTTCATGTGAAAAATTAAAATTTTTTAAAGAGTTGTCAAAAAAAGAAAGACATTTTCTCAAACGGACTAAAAAGGAAAGTAAGACAAACAAATTGATACATTGCCCTTTCTCGGACCCTACTAACATGGGATGCTTTATACACTAGACTGCCTTTTTTTCATATTAATCCAACTCCTAGATTCAAGAACCAAATGCTTCTCGTCGAGATCTACATGACATGTTGTTATTTGAAGCTCATACATTTATGAAGCAATAAGTCTTCACTTCGCATCACTTCCTCGCTTGAATGACTTCATCTATGAAGCACTTCAAACACCGAAGAAGTAGCTTTCTACAACACTGATCTGTAGTTTGAATTCTGTTCTGATACAACTAAAGCACATGAACAGAAAGGATGGCTGGAATGTGATACACGATAAGATATTTGGAATATCTTAAATGGTCAACCAAGTATTAGGAGTATCCAACAAAACTCTCTTTTTTAAGGACAACTAGGGGTGGCAATCGGACGGGTCAAAATGGGTCACGACCAGTGGTGAACCTACCTTGGTCCAAGGGGTGTTAAGCGACACCCCTTTGTCGGAAAATTATGTTGTATATAGTGGTTAAATTCTATTTTTATAAATACAAATACAGAAATTGACCCCTCTTGAAACAAATTGAAGGTTTAGTCTGTTAGTTAGGGGCTTACAAACAGTATATGAGGTCGTGTGTTCAAGCCCTACTGCAACATACAGGTTACAGACCCCAACCCAACCCAAATTTGCTCGAGTCAAAATGGATCATAACCCAACCCATCCAATTTTTATCAAGTTTTCATGGTTTTTAAAGATTTAAGTGCCTAATAAAATTATTATTTTTCTTTAATATGACTATATGTAAAGTATCAAATTTTTTAAAGAAGTCTCTTAAAAATATTTTGACAAGCTTCCACATTACTCAATTTGGGCTACATAATGGAGCAACATATGTACAAAATCCTGGTCCTGTTGACACCAAGTCCTATCAAAGTTGTAAGTTGGTTTGATCTTTCTAAGCACACAATTTGATACATTGGGAAAATGACACTAACACTACTAATTGAAGTGTTTGTTCTGTGTCTTCTAAAATAGTGGTAAGATATGCCTATATTCTACCCTACCCTACCCTACTTTGTGGGATTGCATTGGGTTTGATGTTGTTGTTCTAGGTCTTACAATTGAATTTGTCTAAATACCACAATTAAATAGAAATGTAGCTCTATTAAAGTTATTATAGATGATTCCAAAACTTTTGATGCCTATAAATAATTCTAAACCTCCGCAAAGAAATTCTTCATCATCTATAATGAGCCTAATGTTAAACTGCAGATCTGGTCATATCAGATAAAGTAGGATAAAAATACAAGCAAAGTTCGCAGCAAGAACACTTTGTGTGAACCTATATGCTCCAACCTTGATGCGCAGGTTTATCAAATACTTCTGCCTGTGGGCTGCATTAGACTGTCAGGTGGATCAGTTCAAGAGTGAGCAAGCTAGCTAATTAGAAAAAAATTTACAAATCAATGTTTACCAAAGACTCAAAATGCAACCAGAGGATCATGCTACCAGATCAATCACCAAAAATACCTGAGTGTTGATCACTTCAATCTAACTCAATTAGCTACACCGGACACAGTAGCTAAGTCCGAAATGTATGACTATATAACACGACTCAAAAATAGATCAAAATTCTACATCAACCGACAATAGGATTTCGATAAAATTCAAAACAGATGATAGAGAGAACAAAACCTGAGGGACATCAATAGGCTGATTTAGCTCCCCTGGCTTAATGTCCTCGCGAGGCGCTTGATCTTTCGTCAATTTCACATACCTTGACGCATTTCCTCCTTCTGCCATCTGATCTGCAAAACTACACCACCGCCAACCACAAAAAAAAGAATAATCAAATTTCAGCAATCAAAATGAAGTCAAAAGAGAACTTATCTTAAAAATGAAGATTCAAATCATACCTTGTATCAATCGCAGAGTGAGGCAGATTCTTCGTGCCGTCGAGAGAGTGAGTCAGATGAGGTAAAAGCGTAACTGCTAAGTATTAAGAGAGAATGGCTGAGATTCGGTAGGGGCGGGATTACTTTATCTTGTTGTAGATCTTCCGGCGTTTATTACAACGCGAAAATCGCTCCTTTTGGGGACTCCTCCTATTTTGCTTGGTACGGCAGAAACGCCGACTCTTTTGCGTGTTTATTCATATTTTTAGCCAATTAGTTACTGCCACAGCTTGTACTTTTATAAGTTGTGTCACACTCCGGAGTTCTTTCTACTTTCTTTTTGCCACTTTATTTGTGAGAAAATATTTATTTATATTTTCCGTTAAAAATTTGACTCATCTATATTATTTTTATTTGAAAAAAGGTATAATCATATCATTTGTTGTTAATTGGAATAATATAGATAAATTAAATTTTTAACGAATGATATAGATGAACTTTTTTAAAGTTCGATGACATATTTAAACTTTTTTTTTAAAAATAATTTAATTAATGACGTGGACGATCATAATCGATCACGTGTAAAATTATATATGTATATATATCGATTAGATAATTATATATTATATACATATGTATTTGTACATTCTAGCGAGAGAGATTTGGAAAGAGAGGAGAGAGGCTAGCGAGATTAGGAGAGGGAGGAAAGAGGCGAACGAGAGAACAATACTTTATATAATTCACATCTTGTTAGTATAATTCACGTGTTTTTATATAATTAAATAATATAAAGTCTAGGATTATACAAATATACTAAAACTCAAAATAACGAATTGATACAAACATAAATATATGAACTATTAATAATTGTACAAAATATATTATACAAATCTTAAAACTACACGTTTATACAAACTTTAAGAAATTATACACAAAAAGAATTGAATGTGCAACGTGTATTATGACAAAACTGAAAATCAAAGAAAATCATCGTCATATACAAATACAAACAATCCTTTACAAATACAAATCAAATAAATAATTATTATATGTAAATTATGCAAATAAGGTGAATTATACATATACAAACATGACTAATAATACAAATTTAAAGTCAACCCACATAATTAATGTATAGTATTAGTTACGAGTAGTAATTATAACAAAGTATAACTATGATGAATAATTAAGTAATATGCATTTGTTTAATCGCGTAATTTTCCCTTAGTTTAATGGTTAGGTAAAATTTTAGCAGACTCTATTTTCACTCACTAAGATGTTTGTGTAAATAGCTTTTTTTTTCAACATGATTTATAAATCAATCAAAGTAAAAGAACAATTCTATAAAAATGAACAACAAAATATAAAATTACATAAAATAAAATAAGATAATGTATAACTAACTAGACCGTTTTAATTCTAAAAAAAATAACAGTAATGTTATAAAAAAAAATCATTCAAAAGCCCAAACATTCTCTTTACGGATCTCCTCTTCTTTCTCGGGAGTATTTCATTCTTGATATCAAATTCTTTACGTACTTCTTCTGGTGTTTTCCCTTCAATCCTATCGGCAACTTCTTGACACATCATATACAATATCTCCTTATCGTTAAGAAAATTTGCAGCTAAGATCAGAGCATGCAAAATCGAGTGGTGTACCTTCACAAAAGCCTTGTCAAACTCTATCAATAGGTCTTTGGAGACGTCTTCCTCCGAGTGTTTCTTCCAGTATTCAATTATTTTGGCCATTGTTTTGCTATCGACATTAGGCAGGAGAATGACGTTTGAAACATAATCGTCCTCAACCATATTCTTGATAGTTTGTGAAGGAATATTGATTGTATTGAAGTGTTAACCTAATAATGGAATACATGGGAGATATATATAGGAGATATAGGAAGGAGTACTAATCCTAATAGGACTAGGTTTAAGGA